TATATATATATATTTGGGAACATGTATATATATGTATGTGTATATGAATACATATATGAAGTAACAGCTAACAATTATAATTTTTTACACACATTACAAGAGCAATGATATAATATGAGATACATGTTTCTGCTTTTATACTTATATAATCAAATCATACTAGATAAAAAAGCGATACGATATTTTCAAATTTCTATATCTCAAAAACAAGAAATTATTGAGTAAAATGTTTTACCCAATAATTATATACGTTTGTTAAATAAATGATCTAAAATATCACCTCCCTCATCTAAGATAATAGCTGCTCATGTTTTTGACCGTTTTTATCATAATATTTTGCTACAAAATACGAGTTAGATATTTATAATTGATTTAAAAAAAAATCATCTAGCGGGAAAGCACTTTTGCACCTTGTAAGTCGCTAGCGGACTTATATCAATGTGTATATTAAAGTTTATTATATAATGCTGCGAGGATTTTTAGATTATTTCTTTATCGGAAATTTTATGTTTAAATATATGTATACTCTAATTTGTCTCATTCTATATTTTCTTTTTATTTTTTTTTTAGATTCTATATCTTTTTTTAGATTCTATATTTTCATCTATAAAAATAATATATGTAAAATATCTTGACGGAAAAAACTTTTAGGAAAAAGTACAGAAAAACTATAGAATACATAGATTAAGACAAAATCTTAAAAATATTTAGTTTTTCATACATATTTGTAGTGGGACGTAGAGTGACATTTATTTTATGATATAAAATATGAAAAAATGTTCTATAAAAACTCATCAAAAAGTATGAAAAAGGCGAAGAATTTCCCGATTTTTCAAACAAATATCTCAATACAAATATCTACGAAAAACTATGAATTTCTAAGATCTTGTTTTAATTTATATAGTTTTTCGTAAAAGTTTTTCCCACAGAATATTAAACATACACAATTAAAAAAATATATGTGATGATATTTCAATTATTAATAATAAAATTGTATACTTTTAATTAACAAATACAATTTTTCTATATATACAAAACAAATAATATAGTAACTAAAACTAAATGATAATATATCATTCCAAAAATAAATAATATTGGGTTATCCGGAAAGTTCATGCCGATGTTGAAGGAAAATTGAAACGCAAAAGATTTAAATTTTAGTATACATTTATTAAATTATATAGGTTAGTCGGCACGAACTTTCTGGACAATTCAATATATATAAAATTGTATTATATTTAATCGTAAGTAGATATCTATATCTACATAATCTATATCTATATCTATAAAAACTTATTAATTACTAATTTATTAACATTTAAATATAATAACATCTATAAACGGTTCTTTTTTCTTTGTGTGCATCTACCCGAGAAAAAATGTTATATATATGTTATATACGCATATATGATATATGTAATTATATATGAAGTATCAATTTTATATATAATTATATATAATTATGAAACATTTTTTCCAGAGTAGCTGTTTTTAATTTTTAAAAATTCTTTTTCTAAGAAAAAACAATGACATCATAGTTTATAATTGTAGGCATTATTATGACACATTCCATTGCGAAACACATAATGCGTCCCTGTAATTTTTTTAATAATCTATACTTACAAAAAAACTACGTTGTTTTTTTAAAACAGATAACCTTTTCTTTTTGCAAGGGTAAATGATGTAAAAAAACAATGTATAAAACGTAAATATATAAAATTAAAAAAAAGCATATTAGAATTTTAATAATTTTCTTGTTCCCATATAATATGTATGTAATATTCGATTTTGTTTTATATAATATTAATTTTATTGAGTTTTACTGAGCGCGAGCTTGGCATGGCAGACAGCGCTATAGTCTACCATGCCATAGATCCCGGGTTCGTTCCAGTAGGAACCAAAATATTTGCTTTCGTGTCTCCTCTCGAAAAAGGCCGGCAACCTTCCGAGAATATCCTTGCCTACAGAAACATCCCTCGAAAAATCCGCCTTTCGGAACCGATATTAAAACTGTAGTATCCCATACGCTGTGGTAATTGAATAATCAGCTAACCATGGACACCACAAGCATATCCAAAAGGTGTAAAACAGGCCAAAGACCTAATAATGTAAAAAAAAGAAGAAAAATTTATACTATACTCCATATTCTATATTCCTTATTCTATATTTAATCGATATATTCTATATTCTATATACATAGAAGAACGTCAAAGCTCCATGATGTTTTACGTAATTTGCGTTCTACATACATACGGATATATCCTTGTAATAGATCACGTACTCAAGAAGTTAATCGTGATTAAATGTCACGAAATACAGTATTGTTTAGTCGTAAAGTTGCATAATTATACCACCTGTTATATGATATTTAATCGCAAATAATTTCTTGAATATTTAATCTATTACAAGGGTGCATTCGAATGCATAGAGCGGAAACTGTCGGTGTTCATCAAATATCATAGAACTTTGACGTTCTTCTATGTGTATAGAATATAAAATATAAAATAGATTTTGAATATAGAATAAGGAATATAGAATATGGATTACAATAAAACTGGAAATCCTCCCAATGCAATAAGCGATATTTTTTTTGTCAAATGTAAATAGATTTTATGCAGTTTCAGAAGATGTGAGGAAATGCGCACTGAAGATATTTAATACACACACACACACACGCGCGCGCGCGCGCACACACGTGTGTGTATGTAAAATGTTTCGGTGTAGGCATTGAGTGGGTAGACTTCATAAAAACTTGCGAAATTCTGATTTTTAATAAAATGACTATCAAAGTTTAATGAAACATAGATTGTGCGTCTATGATTAAAAATCAAATCAATTCGAATATTTAGGATACTCCGGTATATACGTCGCACCTAATAAAAACTTAATTTATTAAATATTATTTATTATTTTGTTTAGTTTGAGATACACGAATCGTAGCAATAAAAATTTTGTAATATATATTTTTTCATAATGTGAAATATATTTTTCTTTTTCTTGTAAAGTATTATAAACAAAGTATTTTCTATATTCCGATGACGCCTAACGTAAAAAGAAAAAGAAGAGACTTTATTGGCAGAGCATTTATTATTATAAAGCAGTATTTTGTAAATTATTTTACTTTGATTTTTAATTCTTTTTTATTATGCTTTTTCTTCTAAATAATGGAATAATACAAATATTAGGCGAACAAAACTAAACATTTAAAAACTTTTGTTTAATTGCATGAAAAATGAAATATCTAAAATTGCACATTTCTTATGTTTTTATTTTTAAATCTTCAATGCGCAATCAAACAATGGCTTCAATAAAGAAAACAGCTTTGCAACTGTCGTAAAATTCTTGAATATGATTAGATTATACAGATTTACGTCTAATTAGGAACTAAGGGCAGGACATAATCATATTATAGAATTTTACAGTTGCAAAGCTGCTTTTTCTGCTTTTCGCAGCCAATGGTTATTCAAGTCGGCAAAACATTGTTTTAAAGTAACTGTAATTAGAGTAGATGTTTCTTACAGATTTTTCTCAAAAAATAATTTGTCACAAAAAATAATTTTGTTAAATTATTCCATTATATCAAGTTTTAATGTTAATTAACATTAAAAAAATGAAAAATGAGCACAATTCATAGAAAAAAAACGAACAAAAGCTTTATTGATATGATATTCCTCTTAATATCTCCGCTATTAGCAAATTTTAATAATTATTTATGGAATCATTCATTCAGTAGCCTATAGTTTTACTATCATAGCGTTAATATGTCAATATATGTATAATAGCCAGAATTTACTATATAACATATTTTTACTGTCAAGAATTTAAAAACTTTTCAAGATAACATTTTAATATTTAATTATATATGCTTTCTCATTTTTAATATCAAAGATATTTACTAAAATTACTAAATTACTATTACTTACGATGGCAATAATGCAAACGTGGGACTTATTTTCTTCAAACGTCTTTCTTTTGAAATTTCTTCAAACATCTTTCTTTTGAAATTAATTCTTATGTTCATGGCTTTTTTTCAAATAGTCACTCAATTCCTTAAGATTTACATTAACTTCCTTGATTCATTGCATTACTTTGTTGCATTTCTTGTTCCTTGTTTCCTTATTTGTAGTCCTTATTGTGCCAATTCTAATACCTTTCTTTATATAAAGGATCGTTTCCGCTAATACAAATATTGTGACGACGAGAAACTTCTAAGTGTAAATGATTAGTCGGTAAATGAAATTTCAGAAAGTTATATTTATAGTTATATATATTGTTTTATCTATGATCCTATGAGAATGAAAGCAAAGACAGTAATACGATATTCCATATGTTTTTTTTATATTTATATATTTTATTGCAAAAGTTTTCCCACCCACTTCTGCATAATCTTATCAATATTTCCAAGAAACTAGTAATAATATCAAAAATTATATATAATAATACCATAATTATATATAATGGTCATATATCTTTTACTAATAATTATATATAATTGACAAATAATTTTTTCATTTATATATTTTTTA